CGGTACTACAAACTCACCCCGAAACCCATATCCGGATGTTTTATCGGGATGCGCCGAAAGTGCATGCGCCGAAACGTGGAAACCCGGGAAACTGCACGAATGGACTTGCTTTTTCCATACATATTGTAGTATATTTATTGGGACAATTAGTTGGGATATCCCAATAGTGTGCAATTTTCGGGACAAAGTGGATGTCCCAACCCCAAATTTGGTTTTCGGGACATCCGGTGGGGAAGATTTTGTCCCATCTGATGTCCCATTATCGAGTTGGGACATATTTGGGGATGTGGTGGAGATGCTCTTAATACTCATACAGTATCCAAAACTGTAATCATGTACATCAAACTTGAATTACTAACGTTATAGGTCAATATTTATACATCCAGCTGTATACTTCAAGTACTTTTGATGACGTACAGTATTACTTCGAAGTAGTTAAACTGTATTACTTCGAATAGTCCAAGGGTCCAATCTTTTCGTTCCTGATACGAATAATTCCCTCATTAAACGGATCGACTGTTTTAAATTATCGCATCCGGATACACCTGTTGCCCGTAGCCGTGTAACTTGGGACTCCGTCCTACCCACGCTGAGTACACACGATGCTAAATCCCCAGGGTTAACTGCATCTCAGTAGTTAGCTATCGCTAGCACTCAACCCCTAGTAAGAGATGAGGTGGTAAAGTTCGAATATAAACAACATTGCAGTATACAGTATTATGAGAAAAGCAACAGTGGAACGCCTTAATGAGGGAATTGTACTACCTGAAAGGGGTGGCGTGTCCCAGGTACAATTCCCCGATTACAACAGTTTCACTGTTTCTATTTTCAGAAAATGGTGTTTACATGGAACTTAGTGACCACCTCACCTCTTGCACACTAGGGGTGCATCTTAGTGGTTAGCGGTACCGGTAGCTCACAATTGGTGATGCAGTAAACTCCGGGGATTTAGCATTATATGTACTCAACGGGGGTCCCGGTTACAGGCTAGTAAAATGTATCCGGATGGCATAATTCGGGCAAAACAACAGTATTCGGGTCAAAATATTGGGTCTTGGTCCGTGAGTCTTGCCAAGACCAGCAAAGCGGTTGACTTTGCACCAAAAATCCAGATGCAAATTTTACGTAACGTAAGTTACTTCAATTGTATAGTTATGAAGGGTGTTTATCGAAAGATGGCTTAATGTTAGGAAATGTTTTGTCAACGTTAAATAACTGCCCCCTGTATAGTCCACAAATACTGGGTGTATGGCGACACGAACTTCTCCCATAACCCATAACCTTTGGCTGTACTTGCCTCGATAAAGCTCCTATATACATATAATACTTCAAGTATTAATAGTACCGGTATATTTCACCCATGCCGCAAAAACCATGGATTCGTTGTATATATTTCGCGTCATTCTTGTCCAAGCTTGTCGCAAAAACTGTACCCTGAAAGGGGTGGCGTGCCCAGGTACAAATTCCCCGATTACAACATTTCCACTGTTTCTTTTTTCAGAAAATGGTGTTTACATGGGACTTAGTGACCATCTCACCTCTTGCACACTAGGGGTGCATCTTATTGGGTAGCGGTACCGGTAGCTCACCATTGGTGATGCAGTTAACTCTGGGGATTTAGCATTCATTATATGTACTCAACGGGGCTCCCGGGTTACAGGCTCCTACTACTAGTAGTACTAATGGTTTCACTCATGCTTTACAACACCACAAAAGGCACACCGACGATGGCTTGACGACTTCATAAACAAACTACGAAACATAAGTAAAATGTATCCGGATGGCATAATTCGGGCAAAACCACAGTATTTCGGGTCAAAATAACAGTGGAAGAGGTCGGATAACCGTATCCGGAAAACCTTGGGTGCGAAATTCAAATCGCGATCTTTCCAACAATGCCAGCATGCGCTGACGCAGGGATGACAGCATTGGATCACAAGGTCAGGCATCGCCACCAGAAAGTAAAGCAACTCATATGACGTGTACGCTGTAGCTGCACATGATTCTGCAGAGTTCCCAAGACTATACCCGTCGCATTGACAACATGGAGTTCGCTCGATTCCCTCGTGCGTTTGCATACATTACGTTGACGATGGAGCGCCTCGACGCGAAGCTACAGCAAGCGGTCCAAGCATTTCACACATCAGTGGACATACATGCAAACGCCAGTTGCACGGTTATGCTAACTCGCAGTACTGTATTTGTTGCAACAAGTCACCTCAAAGCCATCGAACGCATTGCAAACGAGTATTACCTTGGCGTACGTTCGCTCATGTCCACATCGTTGTTTGAAACGACTGACAACGTGTCTTTCAAGTGGATGGCGATAGAATCTGCGATACCGTCAACAACCTTCGAGGCCACGAATCCTTCGGATCGTGCGTCAACGAGCCGTCCTGCATTGCACCGTGAATCACGAAATGCTCTGTCAATTGCTTCCAGCTTCCCATCGATCCTCGACGGAGTCTTGAGCTTAAGCAAGTGTACGTAGTACTGACATGCTCTCCGCGGCCCATGCATGGCGTGGTTCTCGTAGTGGCAGGATTCCTCCAACAAGACATGGCCTCCATGGAATTTAAGCAGTCTCATCCCACGGCGCCAGCAGCGACTCTAGTACGTTCCATCTATCTGCATTAGCTCAGCCACGTTGGATATGCTTCTCGTAGGCTGTATTTGAACTCGAAAACGCATGTCCATTTGCATTTGTGGTCGCGTCGTTGACCGTTGCGTTCGTTCTTCATGGAACGTGGTACTTGTGTTCAATTTCAGTTCAACGAGATTTGAATGAGGCGTTGGAATCAGGCGCAGCATCGACATGTACGCATGTATTTGGCTATGACAGTCTTAAGAGTCCGTCGTTAGTGCGCCTTCGGGTCAACTTGCCGAATATGGCGCGATGCTCCACCACCACCAGACTGTCTTCGTCGTCATCACGTCATCACGGCACTTGCTTTGTCGAGTGGGATCTCTACAAGGACACTGTGCACGTGTCCGTGGCATCGCCGTCGGCCGTGATCGATGCTGCGTACTTTGCATGACACACCAGCGCCTATTTAGCCCATGGACTTAAGTTTTAACATGAGTTTATCCAGCTGGAAGGCCTGGGTTCGTTCGAGTCGTTCGAGGCGGTGCACACGGTCGCATCGGGGGTCTGGGACCTCGGCATCCTTTGAAAACGCCTGACTTTGCGACCACTGCAGGAACCCCGCTTGAATTTCCACGAGCTCTGTGACAAGGTGGACGAACTCCCTTCGAAGCAGCACGACTCGAGTGATGCTTTGTTCACGCTTCTGGGCGTAAAAGCCAAACATCGCACGCAGCGCGTGCTCATGCTGGAACCAGAACATCGGGCCAAAGTACTCGCAGATGGCGCCGTGGAACGTCGAGCTCACATCGAGGCCATGCCGGTCGTGCAGAGCAATCGTCGCGTGGACGTGGTCGCCCCACTTCGAGTACAAATCGTGCACGGCCAGCAACCCCGTCGATGGAGCCACCACTTTGCCGTATCGGATCACGGCGGGCGTGCCTGGCGTCAACGGATGCAGCTGCCACGCATCTCGACGGGCCTTGCACACGCGGTGGTAATACCTACGACGCGGGAGAGAGAGGGGGTTGAGTGAGATGACTGGGCGTTAGATGATTCTTGTATGTACTTGTTGGTTTGGCGGAGGGAGATGGAGTCCACGTACGACACATATGACAACACCGTGACAAACACACACGTTGGAATCTTGGCCATCCACGGCCCCGCCGCCACCAGTCTACAAAAAGTAGTCGATAACTTGCATAGTGTACAGTCGTGGGAAAAGCGCGACCTGTACGGGGCACACAGGTGCAGGCGGTTGGGGTTTTGAGTGAGAACGAGCTGCTGTCGGACAAAGCACACGCCGTGGACGTCGGGGATGGCCACCACGTGCGACAAGAACCCAACTTGGGAGAACACAAACACCTTGGTGTGATCGGCCACGACGATGTCGCCGTCGTCTTCGCAGCCCACAGTGATGCTGCACGGGTGTTGCATCGTAGTGGAGTTCCCCCAGAGGGTGCGGAATTGCAGCGTAGTCCGCGCGCCAAACACTTGGACGCGGTGGTTGTCTCGATCGCATACAAACAGGTCGCCCCATCGATTGATCGCCACGGCCACGGGCGCCTACTTGATGGCGCCTTGTCAAATCGACGTACAGAATACATAGGGTCTCGACCTGAAACTCGCCGGGTTTTGAACCAAACGCACCGAGAACCGACAGGACGCGGCCGGTGGTCGTGACCAACACGATGCGATGGTTGCCGCTGTCTGCCACGGCAATGTGTCCGTCAGGCGTAAACGCGACGCCCAGAATGTGATTGAATTGGCCCTTATCCGACCCGAAGCGACCGAAGTGGGCCAGCAGCGTGTGATGCATGGAAAACACTTGAATGCGGTTCACCTTGGCGTCTGACACAGCGATAGTCCCTGTGACGTTGATTGCGATGCAGTGCGGCTCGAGGAACTTGCCAGGGTTGCCCCCTTTCCCCCCGATCGTGTGTTGCAGCTGCAGGGTCGCCGCGTCCAAGACGCGGACGCACGCGTGCTGGACGTCGCACACCAGCAGCGTGTTGTTGAGGGGGTTCACCACCACCCCTCCGATGAGCGGCCCCTTGTCCGTCGCCTTTGGCTGTGTTTTCGAGATCAAGTGCTGGGTCTGGGACTGAACATGGGTGTAGTCACGCCCCAGCACGGCCGATTGGAGCGGCCATGCTACTTTGGCGTGTAAGTAGGTGGACAGCGCCACCCCCATCTCCACCGTCTTCATTGAATCTATTCTTAGCCTCAAGTGCAAGGTAATGTTTCTCTTAAACATGTTATGTGGACGAATCCTTCTGAGCAATGTGCACTTTGCCGTCCACGATGTATGGCTGCACGTCGGTGTGCAACGCAGGATGGCGTTGCAGCAAATGATGAAATTGCTCGGGGGCTACGTCACCAAAGTCGTTTCCCCAAACGACCAACTCGCACAGCGTCGAATGTGCGTTGCGCGCAACTCCGTTGGCCAATCGGGCCAAGCCCGCGTCTTCGATGGAGTTGTAGCCGAGGCGCAGGACCTGCAGACGAGTGGACACCCCCAGGACCGTCTCAAACGCTTGCGCCCCGTCGTCGCCAATCCTGTTGGCGGTCAAGTCCAGCTCCGAGATGCGCGAGTCACTGAGGAGTAAGGCCGCAAGGGCTTCCGACCCAAAGCCGCCGATGCGATTCGCGCCAAGGTGCAAACTCGTCAGCCTCTTGTTGTCCAACAGGCGCTCGGCCAGCACTTGGGCGCCGACGTCGGTGATTTGGTGTTTGCAGAGACTGACGTGCGTCAGCGTGTGGTTGGCCTGGAGCATCTTGGCCACGTGCTGCAACGCTTCTTCCTGCTCGAAAACCACCTTCATTCAATCATTGCCACCATGTATTTGTCAATAACGTAAGTGAGTATACCGACCTCGAGAGTTTTCAACACGGGGTTATCCAAGTTGATGCGCTTGAGGGCTGTGTTATGGCGAAGGGCACCCGAGATCGCAATCAAACTGCCATGGCCAATGTCCGTATCCCCAATATCAATATCTTGAAGGGTCATGTTGATTTCGAGCATTCGGGCCACGTGAAGGTTGCCTTCGTTCCCAAGGGGATTGCGGCGCAAGTTGAGCACTTGGATCGTTTTGTTTTCTGCGAGAGCCGTGCACAAGATGCGGGCACACTCGTCGTTGAGGGCGTTGCCAGCCAAGTTGACGTGCACTAGACTCGACGTGTATCCGTCGATGTTCTACGGATGTATTTCCATGACTCCAAAGGTAAAGAGAGCTCGTTGGGTAGTTACCAGAAAGAGCTTGGCAATGGCACGAGCAGCATTCAAGTGGCTTTCGGGGTCGTCATCATCCAACTCGCCCACGTTGTTGTACTGAAAGTCAACCGTATGAAGGTCGTTAACTTCTGCCACGATCATCGAATTGCACAACGAGATGGCCTCCAAATTGGTCACCCGCGACCGGAATGACTTGACGCTATTGCCTGGAATGATCAAGCCTGTTTGACCCTGGTCCTAATCATGATGCATGGCTAAGGTCAATTCTCAAGAAGAATCGTACCGTTTCGTCGGCCATGATGGCGAATGCACAGGCGGCAACTTTGTGGTGACGTTTCGTGTTCGGTTACACATTTGCTCATAATGAATCACTCATTGCATAATTGTAGAGTTGACTCCCCAATACTCTACTCGTCATGGGATATAATGTCCATGTGAACGACTGCATGCACGGTAGTGTTGTGTTTATGTTTACACCTACCTGTACAGTACTACCGGTAGTAAAAAGAGTAGTAATTGGTAGAAGATTTGAGCCAATCAGAATGCAGGAAATCATTAAGTACGTGACTTTAACTAACGTTAGTGTGAGCACAAACACTTTTTCACATTCAAAATTCTGTACTAACTAGCAGGAAACCATTAAGTACGTGGCTTAACTGTAAACTAGTGTGAGTACAATCACCACAGGACACTTTTTCACATTCGAAATTCTGTACTAACTGTAAAGTTATTATTAGTATTATTGTGAATACGAATTCCACAAACAAGTCATTTTGCCTATTTTGGGGGATTGATGAAATCGCCAACTAATCGAGCAAAGGAGTATGATTGGCTACAAGAATGAAGGCTGCAATTTTATTGTCTAAAAAGATTGATTGTACTACTGTAGTACTGTACTATTGCAAAGTTACCTCGTCAAGTTTAATTTATATGAAATTTCGAAGGTCCGGCGATTGTTCGGCGGTTCATTCGACAGTTTTTAATTTGTACTTCGAAGTATCATATTATAAAGGTTTTTCGAATATGATAATTTATGCCAATTCAACAATTGCTTAGGGCTCCTCTGGATACCACGAATTATGGCATAAAATGACGAAAATCTCCATAAAATGGTGAAATGACAAAGTCGCGATTTTGTTTCGCCTGGATACCACAAAATCCAAAGGAAATATTACAAAACTATATATAGCTAGAAAGTTCACGAATTATGGCATAAAAAAATGGACCAAAATGGTCAATTTCTCATGTAAAGACAGTCCATATTTATAACACTTCAACATCAATGTTCTGTCAAAACGGCGCATTTCGAAAACCGCAGCAACCACACAGCACACAGATGGGCGTTTGGACGTTGGGCGAGATCGTGCAGCAGTCCACCATACTACTACGCATCACGGGGCATTCGAAGCGTCTCCTCGAAGGCATCCTCGTTTCCTTGAAGTATTTCGGCAACCCACAAAGCCCCCAACAAGATGGAGACCCGCTTTGACTTCTTCAAGAGGTAGGCGGAGTAGTGGTAGACCAGGTATGACATCAACATCATGCGACGTCGCTTGAGGCGCCGCCGACGAAGCAGCATCATCATGGTCGTGAGCATCGCTTTGGCGCGCAAGTATACAAACGCAATACAAAAAGAAGAGATGGTGAAACCAGACGGTTTCACCATCTCTTCTTTTTGTATTGCGTTTGTATATTGGACAAATTTTGTAAAATCTCATTTCGAGTTTTGGCATATTTTTATGGCGTGGTATCCAGAGGAGCCCTTAGGGTGCGACTGGTAATTAACCAAAATGCCATTTTCAAAATGGAGGTAAAAGGTTCATTTTGTAATATGGCGTTTTGGACAAATGCAACGAGTAATCCCACGTGGAATTGTTGGATTTGGGTTAAAACTCTTCAAGCAAGACATGTTTCAATTTTGATCAGATTTGTTGAATTCGGCCCCAAAATGTCGTTTTGGGCCTGAATATTGCAATATTTCCGGTTACCATACGCACCCTTACCATTTATTATTAACTGTAAACAAGGTTGAAATTGACTATCATTCCAAGTTGTTTTGTACACAATATTGCGTTTTAGAGTCAATTGAACATTCTTACTTCTGATTATTAACCAATCAGAGTGCATCATGGTTTCTTTGCCATATAATTGGTCAAGACGATCATTTTTATCGACTTCAAAAATACCAAGTTCCCAGCGACTCAAACAAGTCGTGCCAGCATCAAGTGTCAGCAGTTCATCACACTCTCGAGTACATTCACTATCGCTTTTTTCCATAGTGTTTAGTCCTTGTTTTGTAAACTCTACCCAATGAAGTCGACATCGAATGACGAATAATCGATGCGAATATCACGTTAGGAGGACCAGCAGCATCACTACAACTTCATGGTTTAGGTCGACTGGGGCCAACACCCAAGGTTCCAAGTCAAAGTGAGGAAGAACTACCGTCAGTAAGATTCATACTACCGGTAGTATTATCGGGGCATAGTCACTAAAGGTTTGACCAAATCAAGTCGTTCGCCCGCGACATGCAGTTGTCCAGATATTAGGCATTGGGCAATAGTTTCAACTAACAGTGTAAACATGAGTAACAGGGCTCTCGTCGAGGCATACTGGTACTGTAGTCCACGTACGTGGAATAGAAAATCCAGGAACTTTCACCCGAGCGCCCACAACGCCAAGAACAACCACTACCTATGCTGCGACAAGGCGAGGGCCAAGTCGTACTGTATGACCATCGCCCAGGCTGAAGCGTGTGGGTAGGAGCAACGGATCGTATTCTACGCAGGCTGTTGCTAGCGAAGAGAACGATCCTATTGGCCAGTTATTATCACTTTTCTATCATATAATTGGACAGAAATTTGGTAAGGCAGCCTGTCTTACGAATTCATCAATAAAAGATGCGTGCAAAGGAATTTAAAAATATCCCTTACAAACATGAAGCTTCTTTCAATAAAATTTGGCCTAAATCGATTTATGGAATTCGTCCTACTAAAACCTACTGTTTCACCTTTACGATATTTGTACAAAAAGTCCAAATTTTGATAAGCAGGGCAGTTTCGCAGCAGTTACGATCCTACCAAGACCTCCGAAAAAATGTCGAAAAAGGCGGCCGCTGCGACAGATATCGTGGACGAACCCGTGGTGGAAGCTGTGCCAGAAACGCAAGGATCAGGTGTATTCCACTTTCCTGACGGAAGTCAATATGGTGGGTGGTTATGATTTGCAAGCCAGTGCGGTGACGGGGTTTAGTCTAGACGGGGACTACCAAAGCTTCAACCAAGTCGTGATGCGTCATGGAAGGGGCAAGTTTATCAACGGCCCAGAAAAGTACAATGGCTCGTGGCACAAAGATCAAATGGAAGGCAAAGGTACGATAGCCACACACAATGCCATCCTTGATTGGAATCGTTCAGGTGTTTACTCGTTTGCATCGGGTGCGTCGTTCGAGGTACTGTTCCATTAGCCGGCATGGCGAAACAGCGCACATACAGGTGGTCATTGCATGTGCCTATCGTAGGGAGAGTTCCGAAACAACTTGTTTGCTGGCGACGGCGAGTATCGATGGAGTGATGGCGCGACGTATGTGGGTGGATGGGCGAACAGCAAGTAAGTCGCGCGAGGCATGCTTGCGCGTTTAACATGGTGAGGCAGAATGCATGGCACCGGTTGCTATAAGGACAAGGATGGCGTCGAGTGGAAAGGCTCGTTTGTGAATGGGAAGTACGACAACGGGCGAGCCTTCCTCACACTTCGTTGAGCATTTTGCATGACTCACATTGTCAAGTCAAGAACGACCTTGATATTGTACACTTTGAAATAAACTATCTTCTTGTTTGTATTGAAACGAATTGTTCGCTTTGTGACGAATTAAAATAAAGTGTAGAAGTCGAACGTTACTTTACCAATAATGGTGTCCCTGACACAACGATGGCTTCGGAGGAATGCCTTGACGATGTGGATGCTGCTGACCATGCTTTTGGCGCTTTGCTCAGCCCATTCCCGCCTTCAGCAAGATCTCAGTGAAACATACTGCCCCGTGTGCAACATGGTGGTGCAACCCACGCCGAACCAACTTCTCCGCGGCAGCCAAGCTCTGTACGCATGCGAGATGGCAGGCCACTTTCAACAGCTCGTATCGAATCCTGTATGTCGTCTACCAGCATCCTCGTTCTGAATCTTGGTGCATGTAACTAGAAAGCATACGTTCGTGAGATCTCGGCGATCTCGACGTTGCCAGCGCCATACTCCAACTCGACTGTGTCGTGTCCAGTCTGTCACGACAGCAGGATCACCCACGCAGTTCGCTTGGGACCTCATGGCAACCAGATGATCTTTGCATGCTCCGAGAACCACGCGACGTCCATCTCGACGAATCCGGTACATCCTTTCATACACCATGTAATTAAAGCAACCGTTCACATGCCATCACAGGCGGATATATTTATCTACTCGCCGTCGAACGACACCAGCGCCTACTGCCAAGGGGCCACGATCATGTACGATGGCTTCCAGTCCGCCTTCCATGGCATCTGTCCACGGCTTCTCTTCCACGGATGGGTGCTGAACTCGGAGGCCAAGTACGCTTTGGGTTTCGTTGGCATTGTGCTCATGGGCATTCTCTTGGAGTGGTGGGTGGAGTTTCAAGACCAGTTGCATCGTCGACTATTGCGAACTCTGGTTGTGCCTCCATCACCAGACACATCAACTGCTCACGAAGACCCCGACCTCGACATTGAGTTGTCGTTGGAGGACACTCTCCTTCCAGCGGACCAAAGAGCGCAGCGACGGCGGTCCCTGCCATTTAGCGCCAGAGCCGTGTTGGCGGCATCGTACATGGGGATGATGGCTCTCGCGTACTTCATCATGCTCGTGGTCATGAGCTACGAATCGGGCTTCTTCGTGGCGGCGGTCCTGGGCATGGGACTCGGTTTCTTCTTCTTCCGCGATGTGGATGCCCTGCATCCGTCGGGCAACCCAGATCCTTGTTGCAGCACTTAGTAGTGTACTGTTTGTTACTTTAACTTTGCAATGAGCTACGTCGTTTGTTCATCCGGATGACTTCCTCAACCAGTGTGGACATTTCATGAAGGAACCGTCGCGTACTGAGTCCAATGGACATGCTTGGACGAATGACATGATGTGGAGAGAGATGAGCACATAGTGAGTGCACCGCTTCCTGCGCCTCTGACGGTCGGTACGGTACTGTTCAATGACAATAGCAGTAACTCAAGAACTTGAGTTACTGCCATGCTTTCACTCGAGTCTCAAGTGACAGCATGGCTTCGCATACGTAGGTTCATGGAGATATACATCGGCAGTAACTCAAGTGGAAGCATGGCTTCGCATAGGTTCATAGGAATAGCATCGTCTCAAGGTAACGTTCGAACGAACGTGCATGATGTACAGCAAGATCGTCGCCGCCGCGCCGAAGCCTGTTCTTGCTGCAGCGTTTCTCCTCCACCAAACACGACTTTTGTCGTCAAGATTGTAATAAAATAACAATCCTGTCGCGACATGCTGGAATTATGCACAAAGGTTGCCGGAATTAACACTTGCGAATTTTATTGTGCTTTACCTAAACGTCCCACCTGCGGATTCTTAGACTTGTGGCCAACATAGAGGCGTATAAAATGTGTATACTTGGTATTTGTATGAAATATACGAAAATGTAAAACCATTGACGCCCCTAGCTCCATTAAAAGCACCCCTTTTGTTGTCGACTCCACCCACACTCGTCCCAAGTACAGGAGGCGGCGCCATGTCCCTTTTCGCGTCAGATGACAGCTCCAGCATGTGGTCCACGGCCGGCTCGCTCTTCAACATCTCCAGGTAAGCCTCATGCAACATGTAAAGTCGTCTCCATATGGCTTCCTGCATGAAGCAGCGCATAAACACATATGGATGACCCCCCTCAGTGAATATGCATGTGCTTAATATGCGCACATAGCCCACTCTCCGACTTGCTGGACAAGGAAGACTACACGCTTGAACAAGTTCTGGAAGAAGACGAGTTGATTCAAGAAGTCAAGTCGAGAAATGTCAAGCTCTTGCAGTTGTACGGTGACCGACCAAAGCCTGTGAGATACCGACGGCAGTTTGATTGACGGGGATCTCGTAGCTTGTCCAAAGAAGAAACCGTGCGCAAATTGGTGTACTATGTCACGCGAAAGGCCGAGGATGGCGACGGGGACATGATTGCGATCAAGTAACGTCGCCCTCGACCGCTATCCAGAAACGGCACTGATCGGTTGTAGGTATCCGTTCATGTCGTGCGAAGTGCTGTGCTGCGACATCATGTGCATCACTGAAACGTTGTCGACGGCATCGAACGGCGCCATCGTCGAAGATTTGTTTGGGTTGCTAAGTCAACCCGCGCCGCTCGATTCGCGCTTGGCGGGGTACTTTGAAAAGGTTGTACTTTCATGTCGTTTTTGGGTTCTCTAACCATGTCGTGTAGATTTTGTCGCTGCTGATGATCCGCAAGCCGCAAGAAGTGACGGAACTCATGAACAAGAACGCGGACACGCTGCTCGACGGATTCGTCACGCATTCCATTTCGTACTCAATCGCTGAAATGTTCAAGCGACTCATGCAGCCCTACCAAGGCGGTACATATCTCCCAATGTCGCATGTACGTGCCTTACAACAGTGGATGTTGCATTAGACTACATGGACGACATGGACTTTTCGCACCCGTACGGGTCCAACGGCGGCCCTTGGTTCTCATCATCCAGCGACGAAGATGACCTTAGCGCCGTGGGCACGCCGCAGTCGAAGAAGACGCTGTCGTGGCAAACCGACCGCCGCGTTGTGGACAGTCTGGTCCAGAACCTCCGCCCCGCCGACGACAAGGACGACCCCATCGACAGCGACGTGCACAAGCACACGGCGGAAATCTTGAGCGACATCATCCACTACGGCACGCGGTCGTCGGCCAACGAGCCCGCGCCCGCGTCGGCGACGCTGGTCGAGCACATCGAGTCGGCCGAGACCGTTGACAAGATCATCGCGCTGGCGCTGCCCGCGGGCAACGCGTACACGACGTCAATGACGTCGGCGCTGACTGTGCTGGTACGCGTCATGTTGTTGTGCCTGGTTTATTCGTAGTCGTTGGGGGTGTTGACTGAGCTGTAGAGCGCGCTCTTGTCGCGCCATGCCAATACCCACTACAGCTCCACCATCCCCGAAGAAACCCCCGTGGTCGTGTCGGCCACCGTAGCTCGCTTGCCTCAGGTACGTTTTTGATGAAACCTGCCTGCCGTGCATTCACCAACCAACCACCACCACGTGTTGTGACATCAAACATCCTGTGTATTCTGTGGTGACGAATGCATGTGTGGATATATATATATGTATGCATGCATGCGATGGATAGATTGCCCAAGCATTGCGGGACGAAGCAGGCACAACCGTGAACCAACGACACCAAACGGTGCCCAAGCTTGGCCTCCGTCGGTTAAAGCTGGTGGGGTTGCTTGTGGTCCTCGTCCAAGCCAAGTACCGTGCGATCGACGCCGTGATTCTGTCCGAGGTGCGTCGTGATGTGAAGATATTCTGTGGACGGTGCTAACCCTTTTCCGATATATGATGGGCAGAACATGATTGCGCTATGCTTGGATTTGTTTTTCACATTTGAGTCGGTCAACATGCTCCACGCCGAGATCGAGTCGCTGGTCGTGGGCATTTTGGAAAGCGGGGGACCGGACCTCCAAGTGGGTCTGTTGAAGCAGTCGAATCTGCTCGGCCGCATTCTCCAAGCGTACGAGGCCAACACGGTGCGCGCTGAGTGTTGTCGACATAGATCCTCATGCTTGATGTAGGCGGCGCTGCAGGAATCGCCGGCCAACGCCAAGGGATATATGGGGCACTTGTTGCGCATTTCCAACGTGATTCTCAACATCACGGACGAGGTGAAAGGCGTCGACACCCGCGGGTCGCTGAACGACATGACACATGCCGACAGCATCGTCGAGTACTTGGAGGCCGACCCGATGTGGGCCCAGTGGGATGAGTTTGTCAAGACAACCGTGGCCGACGCCAACGACAAGGACCGTCACGCGTTGGGCGGGTCGGTCGTATCGCACCCTGTGGTACGTCTGTCGATTGTTGACCCAAAATGTAGACTTTTGTGCTATCTATCGATCGATTCTTTTTACCTGACGTTTGGTCACACTAATTTAAAGCACATACTAATTCGATGTTGCATTGGTCGAATGTGAGTGGATGATGATTTGATTGGGTATTTGATCTGGGTTTTGATTGGTCGTCTATCGATTTGGTTGTTCTGCTCACAAACACTCGAATGTCGAATCTATCGACAAGAATATTCAAACGTTGTCGCAGGACGACCCGTACGGAATCGGACGTTTTGACCACCCGCCCATCGGATCGTTTGCAGACATGCTCGAGAGCGGCGACCAGAGCCACTTTGACACGGACTTTGACCTGCCCCAGGACAACGACATCCCCGCCATGATCAGCGACAGCAGCAGCAGCGACGAAGATGAGGACTTCACCGAGTTTGACCCTCGGTCCATCCACCGCTCCAACCACCCACAAGACAGCAATGTGATCCCGGTCGTGCCGCTGGATTCGCCCGACTTGGTCATGGAGCAAGCAGACAAGTCCATGGACAACTCGAACTGGGCGAATTTTGACGCTGTTGTCCCGTCGTCGCAAGAGTACGTTGTATCTTGTGGGGGCGCGTGCTTGAGAAGTGTGTGATCAAACGGTTGTATTTAGGCAAGCGTTTGCCAATTTCGACGAGGCGACGACGACCCCGCCGCCGCCGCCTGCGCCGACCACACCGACGGAACAACCTTAGGCCAATCGTGTGTGTTCATTCATTTCATGAGATAGGAATAAGAAGGCCAAATTGTATATAATTGGCAATCAATTCCTGTCCCATCGACTCTTTTTCGCGGGCGTCGGCCCTTGCTCGTCTACTTTGTCCCAGCGGCTTTTCCGGATCGGAGCCGACGACTTGACAAACGTCATCCGGTGCTGCGGGTCGGCATGTCGAGGACGTGGGGGGGGTGGGGGGGGTGCTGAAGTTGCTGCCACGAACCCCATCAGTGTCGTCGTCTGAGGCTGCTGCGATCGAAGAGGCTGCGTACTTCCAAACCCGAGGCCCTGGCGCTGTTCCTTTTTCGACTTGGGCTTTTGCGTATGGAAAAATCCTGAAGATGATTCGCGTTCGTCCAAGTCGATGGCGTCGAGGTCATCCCGTCTTGAAAAAGTCGATGACGACAATGGAGCGGATGAGGCGCAAGTTGAAAGCGGGGGTCCATGGGGGTGTCTGCGCTGAAAGTGCGGCGACTTGGCGGCGACTGCCAAGAGCTCAGACGACACCTACATATATCGTCACAAGTGCAAAGTGCAGGTTTTGGATGCAAAGCGAACCGGTTGGTTGGACAAGTCCATGTTGTTGACCAAGTGACCGGCAAACTCGTAGTCTTTGGGTGTGAGTACAGTGTACGCTGTGCCGGGGGACACGCCGTCGACGCCCATGCGGCCGGTGCGCCCGATGCGGTGGACATGCGTGTCGATGTTCTTGGCCACTTCGTAGTTGACGACGTTCTTGACGTCCTTGATGTCGAGGCCCCGCGCTGCCACGTCGGTGGCGACCAAGATGGGACACTTCCCAGACTTGAACCGTCGTAGCGCGTCGGCGCGGTCAAATTGGGATTTGTCCCCGTGGAGCGACACGCACGGATACACGTCGCCGAGGCCGTTGAGACTCGCCGCCAGTTGGTCCACGCCCGCCTTGCTGCCGATGAAGATCAGGAGTTTTCCTTCCTCTGTCAACTCGGGCAGCGTGTGCAGGAGCCAATTCCACTTGGCTTCTTTCGTCTACATCCTTATATATAAGTCATGTACGACCATCAAAGAGAACATGTACTGGTAACACGACGGCCACTTGCTTGATCTCGTCGTTGGCTTGCCCGACGGTGCCCACGATGATCTTGACGGGGTTGGTCAGCACATCGCGGGCCAGCATTTCGATCCGGCGGCGAAACGTCGCTGAAAACAGCAGCGTCTGTCGGTCGGGTCGAATCTACTCAGATGTCGTGTCAATATATATATATAAATATATTCTCCAGATTCCGACAAAAACATGAAAATGGTTCAATAAATACCTGGCCCAAGATTGAACGTAGTTGCGATTCAAAACCCATTTCAAACATGCGGTCGGCCTCGTCCAGCACGACATATGTGACACGGTGCAAGTTTTTGATGACGCGCTTCCGCAAGTGCTCCATCAGCCGCCCGGGGGTCGCCACGACGATCTCCGAGCCCTTTCGAATCGACTGGATTTGGTCCCATTTGTTGCCCGCGCCGCCGTAAATAGCGGCGCAGTTGGCGTCCATGCTGAACTTCTTGGCCTCGATGTAGATCTGGTGCGCCAATTCGCGCGTCGGCGACAAGATCACGGCGATCGGGCCTTCGTCTAGACATGTAAATATGGAGGTGTGATGAAATGGGCGAGGCGGGCGCGGGCGTACCTTTCTCCAGGAAGCGCTGGTCCATGATGTGTACCATCATGGGCAAGAGGAACGCGAGGGTTTTGCCTGACCCGGTTTGAGCGATTCCGATGATGTCGCGGCCAGACATAGCCAATGGAAACGCTTGAGACTGGATGGGTGTGGGAGCTTCCAGTCCATGCTTCATGAGCAGTGCCAGGATCTGTCGACTGAAGCCGGCCTGCATGAACGATTGGATAGGCGCGACGTCGGCATCCCCAGGTCGCAGCTCCACGCGGGTGTCGAGCTCCCGCCGAAGCTGGCTAACTTCGCTGGCAGTGTGGGTCGTAGTAGGCTTGTAAAACACTTTCCGAAAGGATTCGTAGGACACGGTGGAGTGATCCAGTGGGGCCAGCTCTTCCATGTCTTGGTTCTTGTTTACACGGTTCCATTCCTCGACGTCTTCCTCGAATACTTGGGTAGGTTGTGGATCTGTGGCCGTGGCTGCCTTCCCAATCGCTATTTTGGATTCCTTGACTTCTTCTTCAAAGGAGCATCGCTCCATTACAGCTGGAGCTCGGTGGACCGTTCGTTCCTGGACGACTTGGGCCTCAATACCCGCCATGAACGCGTCCAACGGGTCGATCTCGCCGTCGTCCATGGTGGTGTACGCAATACGCAAATGGGAAATACTGTATAAACTTATTCAAATTGTCACAGGTTTTGTTTCTGTGTGGCAGACATATATTCCAGCAACATGGAGAAGAAGGCGCCTTCCGACTTCTTGAAGAGTGTCCTCGGTCGGCCCGTGGATGTCAAGCTCAACAACGGCGTCGAGTACAAAGGCGTGCTGGCATGCTTGGACGGGTTCATGAACATCGCGATGGAACAGACTCAAGAGTATGTCAATGGCCAGCTCAAAGCACAGTACGGCGATTGCTTCATTCGAGGCAACAATGGTATGCATCGATACGTCTTCGTCTCGTCCTGACTAATCTGTGTACTGGGTAGTGCTGTATATTTCCGCGTCCAAGTAGGCATGCTCGTCACGGCGGTGTCTGTCGATGTGGCCTCGACGAACAACATAAGATACACAAACCATTAAGTAATCACGACCACTGCACATTCCTTCGTTGCTCGTCGTGCACGTGTCCTAAGGACGCAAGTTGTATCGTACACTCACACATCCTTGTTCAAACAACACAATCACCGGACCCACGACCTTCGCTTCTCATGTCGAGCTTCAATGCGCCTTCTTCGGGATGCTCAAAAAGTAGTGATACGCGGAGCTCTTGCCGTACCCCAGGGACTCGTACAACGCTTGTCCGTGAAAGTTGTCGTGGTCGGTTTCCAGCGACAGTCCCTTGGCGCCATCAGCTTGAGCAAAGTCCCGCGCTTGGTTCATCAACAGTTTGGCCACGCCTTGGCGTCTGGCGGCGGGAGCCACATATAGGTCGTTCAATATCCACAAGCGCTCAGTCGTCACGGACGAAAACGAAGGGAACAGCTGCACAAACCCTACCGCATCTGCAGTGGAATCGTCGACTGCAAAGTACAGGACCGACTCGTCCTTGCTCAACCGATCAGAGAGGAAGGCCTTGGCTCGACCCACGTCGCTCGGCTGATGATAAAACACCCGGGTAACCGTCGAACAATGGCGCGATGCGGTCCACGGCGGCCGCAGTCGCTCGATGGATGCTGATCCGCATGCTGGCACTTGAGAATTGTTGTGACTTGACTTGAGGTAGTACCCGTATTCGTTTACTCGAACATCATGATGTATCCGCACTTACTATATTATTCATGACCCATAGTTGTATTAATCAAAGCCGAAAGATGAGTCTGATTGGCGGAAAGTTAGATTCGGATCATCCACATCGCCATCGCCGCCATGATTGCGTCGAAGCGGCAAGCACTGGGAAGCAAGACGGGGAACTCCCGCTTCAGTCTGTTGCTGCTGGAAGATGGAGAGTTCTTCCTCGATGTACATGCCTCCTTCTTCCAAGAATCGACCAGCATGTGACGTCGGTTGTAGGACTTCAGCGTGCTCAAGTACCCCGACCCAGTGTTTCAATGCCTCACCTTTGACGCATGCATTCAAAGGTATAGTAGTTGTCATTGCTGCATGTCTTGCTCGACATGTCAAGTAGTTGACCCGTGTCATGTGTCGTAGAAAGGTCCAAGGTCGATTGAAGCTCTGCACACGCAGCATCATGTTTGAACCACAAGACGTCATGCAACCCATCTTGAAGTTTCCGTTTCGAGACATGGACGTGTCCCCGCGCGCCGAGATCTTTGACGAAGAATCGAACGAGTTGTATCTGTCCTTCGACTGCAACGCCGTGGTAGAGATGAAGGAGCGCAACGTCGACCACCCGTACACCCACCGCGTGCTGGCCAACTCGAGCGTGTACAGCACCAAAATGATTTTCTCGCTCGTGCATTCCAAGATCCACGACTTCCTCCAAGCCATCACGCCGCTCTGGTCCCTCTCGCACAAGAAGAGCGTGCTCAACAAGATCGACGAAGAGCGCTTCTTGGCGCCGGTGCTCGAGCCCCGCCACACGGACGTGTTCGATGCGAGGTTCGCCCCTTCCTTGTCTCGATCTTTTCAAGCATCACATCGTTCGCCATTAGTTTGCTCGTGGATTTCCGCGAACGACCGCTGTATACAAAGTGCAAACTCGTGGATCGGATCGTGCCCCTGCTCAAGTTTCCCGGCGCCATGATGCTCACCAACCTCAGGTTCGCGGACCCTGTCGATTCCATGAGTCGTGACGTGGCATCCTCTAGAGTGTACTTCCAACCGGCGCAAATCAACAACATTGGCGACCCCGTGCTCAATTTTGAATACACCAAGGTCCCACACATCTTCATGTCGTTCTTGACGCACATGGTGTTAGGTTGTGTGGCTGCATAAACGGCGTCACATGCTCAAGCAATGCGGCCTCGAAGTGCTGCTGGACGACCGCCAGAGCTTTTTCTACTCGTTTCGGTCCATGGAAGATCGCGATGAGATTTATGCGACGATGTTACAGCAGCCGGGGCTGAATCAAACGCTGCAGCAGAATTGCACCCGGGAAATGCTCTTCAAGTGGCAGCACCGCCAAGTGTCGAATTTCGAGTACCTGTCGTTTCTCAACGACCAAGCTGGACGCACGACCAACGACCTGACCCAGGTGCAAAGGAACTATTAATATATTGATTCGTTGAATTTCTACGAGTCTATTATTGCTTCTTTTATATATATATATATATATATTAAATGATGTACGAGCAATACGTTGAGACCACAGCACCACATCGATTCTGTCGTGGATTGTGTTGACTGAAGGACTGGTGTAACAGCAATGATGCGCAGTATATACATATATATATATATATATTTACCCCGTGCCAAATGATGTA